AAAGGTAAAAAAAAAAAAAAAAAAAAAAAAAAAAAACTCAATTTCATGCTTACAAGCTTGGGAAACAGTTCTTGGCCGCAAGTTTCCCCGTGAAAATTCTGTATCTAAAGGCTTGATTCCAAAAGCCCAAAATCTGTAGAGTATTAGTGCACTGCCATGGTCTTGTGTTAAGATGCAGATATTCATACACTTTTGTTCTTCTTCACCCACCCATTGAAAAACTTGGCAGTGCCTTTTTTAATGTCTGTTTGAGCCAACAACATTGAATACAACAACGATGATACAGTATTTGAGTCAAAAAAAGGTTATGAATTACTTGATATGGAAGTCGAAACAAGTTTGCAGTCTACTTCTCTCCAAAAAAACGGGCAGTGCGACAGCCGAGAGCTAGGATCGTCCTAGACGCGACTTCAAAAAGATTTTAAGCCAGACACATTCCAACTCCCATCTGCACAGTTCATTTGAGGTATAGATTAGTAAAGTGGACTGATCAACACCTAACTAACTGCATTGTGGAAGGAAAAAATGGCTTCAATTCAAATATGCATACAAGCTAATAAGCAATATTCTGATATTAAGGATCAGCACTGAAACTCAGGGACTCTTCATTTATCCAAGCAAAATCAAAGACGGTATGTAAGAATGGCTATCAATCTGATGATATATAGACAATCACTAACTGAATAAAACACGATCGAAGAAGCCATTGACATCAAACAAGTCTTGTGCATAAATTTTTAAAAAGTTTTTACAAAATTCATTATCGATACCACAATGATTGTCTACTCCAATCTCCAAAACTAAATTATCAGTATGCCATAATCTTAAATCTCTTCTCCATCAAAAGCTCAAGAAACTATCATTCTATCAAATTAAAAACAAATAACCATTATGAAATTACAACCAACAGAAGAATAGGATCAAGATCACAGTAGCAAATAATGCGGTTATTCACTCGCCCCAAATTGATTGAAGGGTTTCATTACTAACATAGCTCTGGAACGGTTTACCTCTAAATGAATTTTGCTGTCCTATAGGTAGAATATATCTTTATAGACAGTTGAATGCATTTCCCAAAACAGGATCAAGTCGTAGTAGCAAATGATGCTGTTATTCACTCACGCCAAATTGATTGAAGGCTTTTATCAGTAGCATAGTTCTGGAACGATTTATCTCTATATGAATTTTGCCGTCATATAGAAAATCACAACTATAGTCTTGGTATGTTATTGGCAACAATAGAACTTTCACACACTCCTGAAATCTTCTCAACATTATTATCATCGTTAGATCTTCTGACCATCACAAACTTCTTAGTCCATTTGTTTTATAACAATCTATTCCTTTGACCTTCGATTAAGTTGAGCAATGCCTAAATAATAACAGATTCAGATCGAACTCACTGCAAATAATGAATGCTATTATAAATGTAGTAAAGAGAACCGTTCATGGAAGCATTTTTGCTTCAAGAATTTAAGACTGTCCCAAGAGAAACAAAATCAACACGCACTAATACAAAAGAAATCAAAATAAAATCAATCATGTAATAAGAATATTATGATCAGGTAAATAAAGTACACTTCACCGGGATATGTCAACCCTGAATAGAAAGGTGCTCAATAAAAATAGTACTAACCAATTAGGTGAGACGGCTAACAGTAGAATAGATGAACTATCGGATGTTATACTACAAGGAGCGTAGATCGAAAGAATGATGTATGATGGGAATGACTTCCTAGAAGCTCCAACTAATTAGAAAAAAGTAAATTTACAGAACACAGACCAAAGAAATCGGCAGTACCATAAGACCATAAGATGGGGGCATATCAAATTTTATGGATGCGTTACTTTAATAACATAAAAAGTAGCACTAGACAGAGAAGTATATGCATAAATAGTACTCTGAATAAAAGTTATGTACATGCTAAAATAATGTCATAACCCCCTTCTCGAGCACAATAACTGTCCAGAAGTTGAATAACCGCAATTAGAGAACAGTAAGGAAAGATGTATAAGATGATCCGAGAGTCTATTTTAATTAGCATTGATATGAAATGGGGAGGAGTTAGGTTACCTTGTTTCATCGATCTCAGCATTCGGAGCTGCTCATACTCAGAATTTATAACCTTTTCAAAATTAGTTACAGATAGCAAGTTTCCCTGACCATTCATCAGCCACACCATAATCAATGCTAAGCTCTCTCAGAGGAGGGATGTTTTCCATCGCAAACAACATAAGATGAGGAAACATTAAGTTATTATGATCATATAATACGAACTGCACCAACACGTTTGGAGATGTACTATGGCTTATATAACAAGCAACATTCCTCATTCTGGATACATCCATTGCAAAATCGAGAGGAGGAACGGAAGGGTAAGATGGCCGCATATAATTAGAATATATTTGAGATAGATCACCCCATTCTGCCCATCTATCCGAAAAACGATTTGGATATATCAATGTATCACCATTCATAGAAAGAACTTGAGCTTGTTCCCTCGTGAGGACAACTCCTGCATATTCACATATAAAAGAACCAGCATGTATCAAGTCCAAAGATCTAACTCCCCAACCTGTTTCCCTCGACCTAAAAACCTCGAGTCGGTGCCTCAAGCCCTTCTGCGAAACACGATTCCGACATTGAGGGGGGCATTGACAGAATGGTCCGCATTCAAAAATTATAGGCTTTCCTCTCACTAGGAATCCATTTTGATCATAACCAAACTCCCCACCATTTTTCATAGCACAAAAGCAATCGTGAACACAACCTGAAACACAATTACACCCAGTGCCACTTCCTGACTGGTGAAAGGCAAAAGGTGGAAACACAGTTCTAACAAGATACTCGTAATACAATGGTTCTTGATCGTTGTCAATATCATTGAACAGGAGAACTGGAACTGCCTCCTTCTTCAGTGAAATGTCCAGACTGAGATAACCAGAAGGTCTCAAAGACAATGGTCTAGTCCTGAGATTCTCCGCAAACTTGACAATGGAGCTACCCATTTCGGCTTGACCATCAATTCTCAACAGCTTAAACTTATAGACACCGAAACCCGACTTCCCCACATCAAACCAACAATCAAGAATTCTATACAGACCATCGTATACATAAATCTTACTTGTTACAATGCCCGAGTACTTGATACCTCGAATAACCCTCACTTCAATCCCGTAGTGCATGCTTCTCTCCAGTGCAAGATTCCCACCTTCGAGTTTCTGGTGCATACATTGTTTTGAAAATTTGTCTTGCCCACCATGACCCGTGTAGATTATCATGTCCCCCGCATCTTCATCGTCCTCATAACCCCCAGAAACAATTATGCTAGTGGCAATTGGCTCGCCATTGGAGCTCTGACTCGCAGGAACATAGTCAATTCCAGCTTGAGCCTGACCATGCAATCCAACAACACACAATTCCATCCTAAAGAAGAATAGATCGCCAATGTGCACCCCCGGAATCGAACCAACAATCCGTTTGTCTCGATTCAACCACAGACCACGCTCTCTCATCAAGGACGAAGCCCTCAAATCACTCCGAAGTCGCCGAATTAGTCCCGAACTCTTCTCCTCCTCCGACGTTGATAACACACGCAACGAATCGAAAATCATCCTGGTCCGTCTCACCACGTCTCGGAAGTACCTCTGGTCCTCAACCCCAAGATCAGTGACTCTAACGAGTTCAGAGGACCTTTTATCATACCTCCTCTTAGAGACCACCACAGTAGAAATCTGATTCTCCTCCGAAACTGGGACAATTGCCCGAGCATCAGGATCCACAACTCCTGCATCGCCATAGCTCTGAATTCCTTTGCCAAAAGCAGACCTAAACAGCTGAGAAATGCGGTAAAATTCGGAGTAAACATTGTCCTTATCAGAGGAAATGGATGAAGACTGAGAAAGAGGGGTAAGATTCTGGTCGGACAAGGGGGTAGGAGCGAAGTCAGAGTTAGAGAAGAAGTTAGAGGAAGGGCTGGACAAGAAGGGTTGCTGAACTTGATGGGGCTGTTGGGTCTCCCGGGACTCGAAAAGATCGTCGAAGGGCTCGAGCTTAGGTTCAAGCTTGGGGGTCAGCAGCTCGCCGCGTTCAACAATTTTGTTAACAGAAGAGTTGATTGTGGGTGTTTTGGGGGAAGTTGCGGCCGGTATTACAGCAGTGGATGGGTCGGGAAGAAGATTGAGGTCTTGAAATGGGATAGGAGAATCCATTGGCTAATAAGGTCCGAATCTTTCCACGCACTATACCACGGAGTTCTGGACATGGAAGATCGATTCCGGTCAGGTTCTGCTAGGGTTTTGCAGAGAGGTCAGCTGGAGCTTCCATGGCGTAAATCGAAGGCATAAGCAAAATTCGAGCACCATTTGCAAGAACGCTTCGCTTGATTTTCTTTTTTTTCTTTTTTTTCTTTTTTTTCTTTTTTCTTTTTTGGTTGAAATTACATTTTCAAGCCTCAATTCCATTTCTTACTTCTCTCTCTCGCACGATATTTTGTCTTCATCTCGTCTCACTCCTCCATCAAACCTATCGACTTTTATTAAAAAATAATAATAATAATATTTTATTTTAAAAAATATAAAAATACATTCGTCGTCTACTCAAAAAATATCTTTAATTTTTTTATAAAAAAAATAAAAAATACTCTCACCATAAATACATAACTAAAAAAATGCTCACAAAAACTTTTAAAAATAACATTAAAAAAAGCTTAAAGACAATGGTTGATAGACCGTCTCGTATATATTACTACGATTTTTTTAATATAAAAAAACAGTAAGGTATTAATGAAACTTTTTAAAGTTTTTTTTGAAGTTATATTATAATTTTAAAAGTATTTTTAAAATAAAATACCATCCAAAATTAAGGATAAGATTATTAAAAAAGAATTAAAATTATTATTGACGAGTATTTTTAAAATAAAATATAAAGTTTATGAGTATTTTTATTAATCATCCATTCTAAAAATATATAAACCATTAAAATTTTCCACTCATTCAAATTTTAAAAAATAATAAAAAAAATTATAATAATTTTGATGAACGTAGATAAAATCATACTATAATTTTTTAGTACAACAACCAATAAAATTAATAAAATAATTCAAATATTTAACATATTCATTCGACTCCATTTGAATTTGCACATTTATCAATATAAATTAATTTTAAAGTCGAAAAGTAAAAAATTATCACAAGTTTAAAGCTATTTTAATGCATTTAACGAGTGGGTTTAACACTTGCAATTAATTCAATCATTTACTTACTTTGATCAGAGTTGAAGTTCTCGTAAATTTAAAGTTTTTTCTTTTCTAAATTTTTCAAAATCTCTCGATTATTTATTTATTTATATTTTATGAAAATTTAAAATTAAAAGCGAAAATTTAAATATTTTAATTTTTTTTTTCCACATATTTTTATAAATCCAAGACAAACTTCTTCTCCATGTTCAATTTTCATTCTATCGAGGAATTGCTTGTTCTTGTCCCATTATTTAAATAAAGATTTTAAATACTTTCACCAATATTTTAAATGTATGAAAATAATAAATAAACACTACAAAATCAATAATCTATATAATTCAATATTATTTCATGTTTTTTTTTTTAATTTATGAATATATAAAACTTGAAATTAAAAATTTTAAAAATTTATAATTTTAAAAGTCAGATTAATATCTTCGAATTGAAGGTTCTTAAAAAGGTAAAATACTAAATTACGAGTTATGAGTTAATAGATCAGAGACTAGATGATTGGTGGGCCGAATGAAAAAGATACCACCAATTTTTTTTATTCTCGAGCAAATTTGTATTTATTTAATTAATAAATTTAATTTTTTTATTCTCAGCCGATAATTATGACCTTATGTTTAAATAGATGGACAAAATTATAATAATTATAATTTATTTTAACTAACAAAAATATCATTAACAATATTTTATACGAATTAGATATGACGTAAATAATATCACACGTCATTTTTTTCTTATTTATAATATTATTGAAAAATGTCTTCATTCTACTTTGGAATAAAAATTATACTTAAAATTTAGAGATATTTTTTTTTCATAAAAGGACACTTTTGTTTGTTCTATCTTCTATGCAATGAGAATAAATTTCATATTTAATTAATGACGCACAATATTCAATAATATTGTCAAAGTACTTTTTGCAGAAAAAAAATAAATAAATGATAAAAAAAAATGCAAGTTGATTATTTCTTGTCGTCCCGAGAAACTCATTTCTTTTCGGTTTAATTCTTGAAAAAAAGAAATTAATTTTTACCCTTAAACCCTCATAATTTTCGGTCTAAATTTTCAATTTAATTTTAATTAAATACTTATTTCTCTTTGATATTTATTAATTCCATAAATATGTTTAGATTGCATTAAAATACTTATTTAAGTTTAAATTTTAATTTAATGAAATTCAATGTTTAAATTAAAATTTAATTTTTTTTTTATATTATAGGAGATATCGCTAAATTAATTTTAATAATAAATTTTTATTTTCATATAAATTTAGAATAAGATTAAATATTTAATCATTTGACTATTTAAAAAATAATAATTGTTACATTAAATATATACAAGAATTAAAATAAAAATAAAAAACTAATTTTAACATCACACGTCAACTAATGTAGTGTCGTGTAATAGTTTTTCTCATAAATATAATTTTTATTTAAAATTAAAACACTTAGATTACATTTTTTTTTCAAAAGTATTTCAACGTAATTTTAAAAAATATTATGATGCACCGTTCATTATGGTTAGTAGTCGATAGTAACAATGGAGGGCAAAGTCAATGGTAGTTGCTGATAAGGTGATCAACAATGTTGGTGAAGAGGTCGTTAGCAATGGTGGGTGGTGGTGGTTGCTTGATGTCACGGTTATGCTTGTCTAAGGCATATTGCCTCCAAACCTTTTTTACTTCCTTCCACGTGTAATTAGGTACTAAATATTTCTGTCATGTCCAGTATATATAATTGTTTGCCAAAATCATGTCTATGTCTGTCATAGCTAAAATGTCTGTCAAATGCTATCAAATCTATGGTCGTTGTTTATTTGCTTTTCGCCTATAACATTGATTTCTTTTAAACTGTTTCTAGTGCATTTTCTAGTCAAACGTGACTCGAGATTTGATCGTACGTAAAATTCGATTTTTACATAGCTAACTTGTTTGTCAAATTAGAATAAGTGTTGACTACTCGTTTTACGTTCTCGCAAGAGTACGATTAAAATTTAATAATTTAATTGGTATGCTCTCAATAAATATTTTTTTTTCTTGCAGTTTTGTACTGTAAAGTAATTTACTCTTTTGTAATGGGACCTGCCATAAAATAATTACTTTTTTTTTTAATTAAAAAAAAAAAGCCATTTTAAAGAGAAGGGAATAATATTCTCATTTTCTCAACTTGTTTGTAGGCCCTATTATTTATATTCTTTTTAACGCCTACGACCACGTTGGTTCAGTGAATTATGAGATCCCACGTGATTGAAGAGGGAAACGAAACATTTTTTTATAAGGGTATGGAAACCTCTCCTTAACAGACGTATTTTAAAAACTCTGAGAGAAAGCCCGAAAGAAAATGTCCAAAGAAGACAATATATGCTACTGGTGGGTTTGAGCTATTGTTGCAAATGGTATTAGAGCTAGACACCGGGCGATGTGCTAGTGAAGACACTGAGTCTCGAAGAAGAGTGGACACCGAATAGTATGTCAACAAGGACGTTGAGAAACAAAACATTCTTTAAAAATCTCGAAGAAGAGCTACGCTGTTACCATTTATTAAAAAGAAAATTATTTATGACAATACAATACTAAAAGAGAATATATTTCATACTCTTTAATTATTACTCCCATTCAAAAAATTCCTTTATATACACAAAATTTTGACCCCATCATTCATGTCACCAATCATTTTCAAAGTAATGTAAATTAAAACAATGAAAAATAAAGAAAAAGATATTAAAGTTAATTTAGAACAAAATATTAGTCGCACTTTAAGCGTTTGAAAATTTCGAAATGGTTGAAATTATTTCAAAAGAAAAATCTTTGAAGAATCTTTTTCTTAAAACGATCGATGAAAAATTGTATAATAGTTGGTGACTAAAAATTAGAGATAAAAATGACATAATTACGACTCACTTGGTACCATTTATTACCTTATTCAAGGGTATAATTGGAACTCACACAAATGAAAAAAAATTATTAAATTTTAATTTATTTTATTCAGCTTTAGAGAAACCAAATTAATTTTAATTTATAAAATACATTAAAATTTCAAACTTTTAAATTATTTAAGTATTACTAGATAATTTTGTTTCATTAAAATGGACATAAATTTTCTTTAAAAAAATATATAGATGGGCCTGATATGGGCCGTATGTTCATAGAGAAAAGCCCAAACTTTACATTTGGAGCCCAAAGCTTCATGTTGTCATAGTCAGGAATAAAAGCCCAAACTTTGAAATATATTGTTGAAATTTTTTTTTCACCAAAATAAATAAAATATTTACTATAGAAATTGACGTCACTGTAAAAATTAATTACAAATGCATAATATCATTCTATCTTATTTGGAGAATATATTATAATAATTAGTTATGAAATATATCTTAAACATTCGTAATTAATTAATATTTTATCTTAAGATTTAATTAGTAATATATTTTATCTTATTATTTAATTAGTTTATATTTTTCCCTTATTTTTAGGGTGTGTACATTAACGAAGATCGTACTTTCGATCCCCATTTTTATTTTTCAGAGGGATGAATATAATAACGATGTGTTAAATCAACCTCCGAAATTTTGAAGCTGATTCTACTTTAAGAACACCAAGATCGGTGATCTGATACCTATGTTAAGAATGAGAAATATAAATGGGATCGAAAGTTTCAGACCCACTTCTATTTCTCATTCTTAGCAATTTTTGTCCTCGAATTTGTAAAATGAAATTTTAGTTATTTTTTTTAAATGTCAATTTTTCTTTAATCACAAAATTTAAAATTACTTTAATATGAATTTACCAAATAGGGTAATTATTATTATTTTTTATTTAAAATAGAAATTTAGCAAATTCTACTTTATTTTATTTATTTATTAAAAATAACATAGTTGAGATTAAAAGTAATTAAAATAAATTATTAATAGTTAAAATAATTTTGGTGGATAGGTACAAGAAATTGTACTTTATTATTAATAAAGTGAACATCCCACATTTGTCATATCATCCATGTTCCTTTTTTTTTTTAAATAATATTTTTAATTTAATTAATTAATTAATTAATTAATTTTGTGGTTATTTCCAGAATCCTACTAACCCATGAGGTATTTTGATTAAACAAAGAAAAAGAAAGGAATCTTGTCATCTTTGTGATTATGAATCATATTCCTTTTTGGGTTTAAACAAGTGCAAAAGACCCCTCATCATTTCTTTTTATACTATTCCTTAGATATCAAACGCGTTCTAGAAGACTCTAATCCAACCCGACATCATCTCCACATCATAATCACTTAAACGGGTGGGTGCACGAGAAAGCTGAGAAGCTAATCGTCAATCAAACTCTTTATACTCACGACCCTTTGATGTTAGTTGCAATAGCAACCACCCTCACTGTCGTTCATAGTAATTAGTCTTCGTCGTCATCATAATAGCTCATTACCCTTTTCGTCATTCTTAGCCGCCCCAACTAGACACTCCTAGCTTCGCTTTGTAGACACTTCTCTTTCGTCTTTAAGGGTCAAAATCAAACCAGTCATCATCGTAGTAGCTCATTACCCTTTTCGTCATTCTTAGCTGCCCCAACTAGACACTCCTAGCTTCGCTTTGTCGACACTCCTCTTTCGTCTTTAAAGGTCAAAATCAAACCAATCGAGAAAATCGAATAATTGTATGAATCCGTTATCTAGATATTTCAGGACTCAAGTCCACTGCTAGCAGATATTATCTTATTTAGGTTTTCCCTTCAAGGGTTCCCCCTCAGTATCTGGGTTTTCTCTTCAAGAGTTTCCCCTCAAGGTTTTAAAATGCGTATGCTAAGGAGAGATTTTCACACTCTTATAACAAATAGTTTTAAAATACATATGCTAAGGAGGGGTTTCCACATCCCTATAACGAAATGAATGCATCGTTTCCCTCTCCAACCGATGTGGGATCTCACATCAACACTTATTAGATACAAGTTAAGTTCTTGTTTTAACAAAACTTATTAGTTCAGCTCTTGATTTAGCCCAAAACTGAGTGAGTGGAATCGTTGCTCTAACACCCCAAACCCATCACTAGCAGATATTATCCGTTTTGACCCGTTACGTATCGCCATCAGCCTCACAATTTTAAGACGCGTATACTAGAGAAAAGTTTCCACACCCTTGTAAGAAATGGTCTACTTCCCTCTCTAACAAATGTAGGATCTCACAATCCACCCCCTTAGGGCCCAACATCCTCGCTGGCACACCACCCAATATCTAGCTCTAATACCATTAGTAATAACCCAAGTCCACCACTAGCATATATTGTCCGCTTTAGCTCATTATGCATCACAGTCAGCCTCACGATTCTAAAACACGTCAACTAGGAAGAGGTTTCCACACCCTTACAAGGAATGATTCGTTCTCCTCTCCAACTGATACGTGATATCACTTATTTCGAAGGAAAAGATATTTATGGTTGCCACTGATAGCTACGACTAGTCCAATATGATATACGCAAATATTTGTTTATGAACTAAAACTTTGATCTAAAGTGAAGCAACGAAATCATTTGGGATCTCATTTTGATATCATTTTGCAGCTTAAAAACAAAAAAGAAAAGTTCTTATGAGTGTTTAAGCTGATCAAAACCTAAGATCTGAAGGTGAAGGGGAAAGATATGAGATTTGGATCCATCTGCTATCTGCAAACCCACTATCGATACCCAAACTTGAACCAAAATCCAACACCTGGCCTCTTCCCAATGACGTTTGATAACAATCTTAATAATATAATAAGCTCTCCAATAACCCATTTTGGAATCCAACTAATCTAATCTAACATAATTATAATCATCAAGAACGCCCAATGAACACAGATGGTGCCCTCTCATTGCCCCCTGCACTTAAACAACAATGAAATGGCTATCACTTTTCCTTTTTGAGGCCTCACTTTGGCATCAAATTAACAGAACATTTCTATCCTGATTACCCAATGAAACATGTCACCTAATGTCTTGGCAGTGTTTTGGGCAGCTGTTCATTTCTTGGCTGCTTGAATCTCATCATCACCTAGCCCTCTAATGATACCAAAGGAAACTAAAAAGGAATTTACAAAAAAGGTCATATGAAAGTTGAGAATACTAAAGATCATGCAACCAGAATATAAAAAGACTTGAAGGTATTTGTTTATAAACAGTAGTTGAGTATGTGGAGGCTGGGAGTGTGTGTATTTTGGTCATTTCCATAGTAGGGAAGGATAGAGATGATTCTGAAAATGACCCATGAGAGAGAATGGCAGGTATAAATATGGAGTAAAGATTGAAGCCTTGGATGCCATACAGTGATAACATTCGACGAAGAACAAGAACGAGAACGAGAAGAACGGCAGCTGCTTTCTTATGTTTAACTTGAGAGCAATGGTAGGCCATTGGAGTTGGGGTTTGGTGGAAGATGAAGTTTGGAGGAAGGGACCTTGGACTGCTGAGGAAGACAGGTTGCTTATGGAATATGTCAGGATATATGGTGAAGGAAGATGGAATTCCGTGGCTCGTCTTACAGGTAACTTTTCGTTCGTTCTTGAAAACGTCATTCTGGGTCTTGATACCCGAAACTGATCTTTTTATGGCATTTTTACTTAGGATTGAAGAGAAATGGGAAGAGTTGCAGACTGAGATGGGTGAACTATCTAAGGCCGGACTTGAAGAGAGGACAGATAACCCCACATGAAGAGAGCATAATTCTCGAGCTTCATGCTAGATGGGGCAACAGGTACCTTCTGAGTTCAATCTCTCGTGTCAGTAAAGATGTTCGTTTGTGTTCCTTTGAACCAATTCTACTTACTAACTATGAAATGTTTGGCTCAGATGGTCAATGATTGCTCGGAGCTTACCAGGACGAACGGATAACGAAATAAAGAATTACTGGAGGACCCATTTCAAGAAAAAGGAAAAGGACAGTTCTGATGCGAATGGGAAAGCAAAAGCTCGCCTTCTCAGAAGGCAGCAATTTCATCAGCAACAACTGCAGCAACAGCAGCAGCAGCAATACAACCCAATGGACATGAACAAAATCATGGCTCTACTAGAAGAAGAACACGACAAAAACAACATATCAGAAGCTTTGTCTTCCTCTGCTTCAGAGACAGAGAAGAGACAAAACACCACAAATTTCCACTCACAAACAGCTAACAATGAACAGAGTCTACTCTCTGAGCTCAATACCAATGGCTTTGTTCTACCTGAGATATTGAATGAAGGGCTCGAAGTGGGATGGGCTATGGAGCTTGGTGGGTGTCCATGGCAATGGTAGCTTTACTAGATTTTGTTCTTCTTTTGAGTTGGGTTTTTGTCTTACAAGAAGAGGCTTTTTGGGCCAAAGCTTTAAACCATGGCTTTGGAGTTAAATAATGAAATTGAGTTTGAGAGTTCATGATGTTCTTCATCAAAGAAGTGTTCTATGTTTGGTTCTACAAATGGATATTCAAGCTTTTGATGCTTGAACAAGAGCATAAACCAACATCTTTTCAATAATATAATACACCATTTTTGTAAATAAAAAAAGACATCCCCATATGAAGATAAGAACAAGTAGTCATTCTTAAAGCCAATGATTTCAAATGTGATCTAAGGGATTTTGAAAATCACCTTTTTTGATATTCTATCCTTCAAAGAGTATTAAACCCTAAAGAATGTAATCTTAATGTGATATCAAGCATGCTCTAATGGATATCAATATTCTCAAGATATTTGGAATTCCCTTCAAAAGTGACTTTGGTGCATATAATAAAGTACTATTCAATTGTATACCAAGATTCAATACTTAGAAATAATTCTGAATTCTTCTATGAATGAGAGAAATACATACAGATTTTACTCCTTTTAGTTCATTTGCACATCTTCAAGCTGCCACAAATTAAGCTCAAACTTCTCTGTTCTATGCTCTTGGCATTAGGAAGTTGGTCGCATAGATACCCACAAGAACGGATGCGAGTATAATCGATGCGTTGAACGACATCGAAGGGAAGGAGCTTGAGAGTCATCTTGTTCACTGATGCATTATAATGGTAGCCTTTCTGATGTGTCTGAACTATTTAGAGTCAAGATTTGATCCATTTACAAGATAAGCTGCAGTAGAAAGAAACTAGAGTTTTCACCCCTGCATCTCGGATTCCCTCTCGCGTCGATAAACATATACAGAATCACTATACACGACTCGTCCGACCCTTCTATTTCTCCTAGATCTTCTACTAACTATTCTCTTCTTTTCTCTTTCGACGACGGGTGATGTCGTGGGAACAAAATGGATACAGATCAATGGCAATAAAGCTGCAATGAACTGTATCAAAATCCCCACAGGCAAGCTTGAGTAGTTTCCTGATCTTATTCCAATCAAAGAAGCCAACCCGATGCCGAAAAAACCACCAACTATCGAAGACAAGCACACCGCCGATGCGAAAAATGAAATCAGGGATCCTTCACAACCTTTTGGACTTAAGCTTGCAAAGAGTACTGAAAATGGTAAAAGCTTAAACTGTGCAATGGTTTCGGCCAAACCCGAAAAACAAAGAGCAAACAACTCATTGGAAATGCCCAGCTTTAGATTTATCTGATTCACCAAAACAATGTCGAGGAGAAAGGAAGACGCGTACAAAATCTGCACCATGCCAATTAGCTTCTTCATGGATACTCGTTTCCAATAGCGGTCGTAAAGTACAGTGACCGAAAGAAGAACCAGTTGACTAACCACTCTAGACATCCCAATTATGGAAGGATCAAGATGAAGGCATTGTGTTTGATAGCAAAATATAGAGCCTGTTAGAAGAGGGACCATGGCAATGGAAGCCACAATCCAAGCCAGCGGTCGAAATATACTCGGATCACGAATAGCCGTTACGAGGTCCGACATCTGATTTCTAACATTTTCCATGATTGATTTACCATGAACATCAGGCTCTGGAAGTTGCAGCAAACCAAGGGATTCCTCTCTAGTTGCTGATGAGATTGAAAGTTGGAGAGAGAGTAGAATAGAAAAGAGAAGAAACATCTTTCTAGGCGGTGAACTCAGTAAGTTATATCCACCAAGGAAGTTGCCTAAGACACCACCAACAGCTAAAGCCATAAATGTATAAGATTGAAGGCCACAAATTTTGTTTGTTTGGCCAAATTCTGCAACAAGTGCATCTTTTGCAACTTCTGTTATGGATGCTCCAAGATTACTTAGAAGAACACATGCCATTAAAGCAGGAAGGGCTTCCCCTGCCACAGGGATCAATGCCAGAAATCCCCAAGATAGGACCTGCAACAGCACTGAGAAGCTTCTCAATTAGGCTTCATCACAATGCACATAAATATACCCAAAACAATTGGTCAAGAATACATCTCCATTGGTACGAGGCTTTTTGGGGAAACCAAAAGCAAAACCACGTGGACAATATCATACCATTGTGAAGGTCCGTGATTCCTAACATGGTATCAGAGTCATGCCCTTAACTTACCCATGTCAATAAAATCCTCAAATGTCAGAACAAATAAGTTGTGAGCCTCGAAAGTATAGTCAAACGTGACTCAAGAGAAGGAGTCGAGCCTTGATTAAGGGGAGGTTGTTCAAGGGCTCATAGGCCTCGTGGGAGGCTCTATAGTGTACTTTGTTCGAGGAGAGGATTGTTGAGGATGGTTGGGAGGGAGTCCCTCATGATCATGGATTTATAAGGAATACATGGGAAAGCCCAAAGCAAAGCCAAAAGAGCTTATGCTTAAAGTAGACAATATCATACCTCGTGATTCCTAACCAAACCCATCTTTACTTTGGAATAAGATTGAGTAATAGTTACATTATTGATTAAACTGAACGCGGAAGGGAATCTAATGCAGGATGAACTGGAAAAGAAAAGAATAAAGAATGAAGAAAAGAACTCCAAACAAGAAATACAGAAATGAAATGAACAAGAACATGGTTGAAATTCAAAGAGAAACCCAACATACCTCCAATTGAAACATAAGGAACTCTACGAGCACCACCAATATACAGAGCATCAGACAGAATTCCATACAAGGGTTTAGCAACCATAGGAAGGTTTCCAGAATTCTGCACGAGTTGCAATATGGAAGGATGAAGATTAAGGTAATGAGCCATGTGAAAGTTAAGAGCCAGCCATGGAAAGCACCTAAACCCCTGCACCCAATACCCAAGCCCACAGAGCAGCAACATTTGATAGCTACCCACAAGAGGAAACTCTCTTTTTCTGCCATTCCCTTCTCTTTTCTTGGCCTCTCTATACAAAACATGACCTGGGTTGCTCTCCACAAGCGTGTTGATGAAAATGCCTGTGGGTTTTGATGGGTTTTCGAAGATATTGGGGTTTCGATGGTGCAAACAGAGAATGTGCTTGGGAAAATAGAGCGGTGGCCTTCGTGGGGATCTGGGAAACGTGGGTTTCAGAGAGGGAAACGGAAAATCAGGGGCAAATAATGAACAAATCATGGCTGGGGGAGATTGAAATTGGAGAAAAATTAATGGGTCGCTAATGATCTGTTCTTAAAACGGGTTTTTGGGAGAGGCAGAGGAAGAGACAAAGGGAAGGATCTAGAAAGGTGAAGAGAGGGGTTTGGGGGAATCAAGAAATTTATGGTGTTTAGAATGGGAAGGAATGGAAGGAGAAAGAAGAAGAAGAGTGGAGCGCAGAGGTTTCCGGCTGAAGCCATGCTTCGTAGAGTGGCACCTGGAAGCCTTGAGGACTCCATTTTTGTCCTCCTTTCCGCTCCAAATTTCCAAGGGTCCACTCACCACGCGCCGCAATTTCCAATGCCTTCTATGTTGCTAAATTTTTAATTCTGTAACTTATTTTTTTTAAATATAATTAATATTTCAATATGTTTAAATTTGTAAAAAAAAATAATAATAAATATATATATATATATACTTTTAATCTCTTAATTTTTTTTAAAAAAATACTTTTATTAGCATAAGAATCAAAACTAAACATTCTTTACAACGTTATGAAAGTCACTACGTGTTTTAAAATCGTGAGGCTATATGTAATGAGCTAAAATGGACAATATCTGTTAGTGGTGAACTTGGGCTATTATAGAAAAAATAAATAAATATGGTAGGGTCTAAATTGTACCGTTATAAAATATATATATATATATATATATATATATATATTAAAAATATACATATTTATTTTAGAGTAAAAATTATAATAACCACACATTTTTACGAATATAAATTGGATATTTAAAAATATAAAGAATAAAAATAAAAGAAAATTTAAAATATAAATAAAAATTTGAGAAGGCTCGTGAGTGACCAGAATAGTGTAGAGCAAAGGCGAAGACGGGGGCCCATGAGGATCCGGTTTGGCCGTCCGTTTTAGAGAAATTGAGTGAAAGGGACCTTTTAGTCTTTTCACACAGTTCGAAATGGTCCACGCGCGCGAGTGTTAGTCACCTACGCTTCCCAATTAACCACAGCCTCAACTCGCTGAACTCAGCGCGTGGGCATTTGACTAATGACGTGGCTGTTTATAATCATATTTACTTTTTGAAAATAATTGTCGGGTTAATCCCCACCGTTTATTTTGTCAATGAAAAAATAAATAAAATGCATTTACCCCAAATTTTCAAGTCATATTCAACATTTATTTTTTTAAAATTAACTATTTGTTAAGTTGTAACATCAACTTTTAATTCTTTTAAATTTTTAAAAAATTTAAATAAATAAGTAAATAATGAGAATTTTAGCATTAAAGTAGACCCATTTTTTAAAAATATTTATAGATGAAATTTGGTGTATATTGGTGAAGCGTGTTTCAGATAAGAGCCAAATTTAATTGAGCATAATGTGATGGTTTGCCAAATAATTTGGTAATTGGGGATTGATTATGTATGTGAAGGGACATCCACACGTGCTTATGCAACTATACCAATTAATATTAGGGTTTAATGCACGTAAAAGCAACTTTAAAACAGATGGAAAGTCTTGTGGCACGTGGCGACCAAATATTAAGTAGGTTAAAGTATAATCAAGGTTCGATTTTAATTTCGTAAACGTGTGTCTGTTTAACTCTTTTACTTTGAAATAATAATAATAAAGTAAATATCTTTTTATTTGTATCTGTTCAAGTCACGATGCTCACTATAAATTAAATGTCTCGTGAAACTAATTGAGATGCATACAATATAACCTCGACATTCACGAATATTTTTAAAATAATTATGAAGTCTAATATTAATAGAGAGCATATACTCATCGGATTTGAAATGTTGAAAATTTAAAAATTAAAAAAAAAATTGAGAAACAGAAATTATTTAAATAATAAATTGAAACGTTTATAAACAAAAGCCCGTCTAGCTCAGTTGGTAGAGCGCAAGGCTCTTAACCTTGTGGTCGTGGGTTCGAACCCCACGGTGGGCGTTTTTATTTTTCTAGAAAAACCTTCATAATTTTGGTTAAATATTTGTTTTAATTCTATTTTTGGAGATCTTTGTATTTTCAATTAATTTTGTAGTTATTTTTATCAATTAATTAGATACATTTTTAATTAGTGTATAATATCTGTTTTAGTGTCCAATAATTTCCTAATTAATGATATTATTGTTTGAATTTTGCATTTCAATCATGAGTTGAGGGTAAAAAATGATCTCTTATATCCTTAATTTTTCTACAGCCCCTGAAATGCATCTAAAATTTCTTGGACAAAGAGAGAAAAACAATGGAAGAACATGATAAAGAGAGGAGAGGCTGCTAAAATTGCTTGATATGATGGATCAATCTTCATAACTTGTTTCCAACTCACCATTAAATGTTTAAATTACAAGAAGAACCAACATCTCTGGTTTTCAGTCCCAAACAAATTCCCATCTCAAATGACTCAACTTTCAAGTTAAATCATAATCACCCAGACAAACTTGGAACTTATTTTGCCTTTTTATTCAAACTCATGGGGCCAACTCAAAATTTGCATTCAAAAGATGAAGAACTTCACCCAGCGTTGATACTTTAAAATCTGGCTCGAGATCCATGTTGGCGTAATGCTCCGAGTTGTACCGTCCTGTTTCGTCTAGCAAACATGTGAAAGCTCCTGCTTGCTTCCCACATCCAACCTAGAAACGAAGACGTATGAACGAATGGACTAGAAAAGAGTAAATCCGTTGAAAGCCAAACAGAAAACGATACACTCACGTCATCTCTGAGGCTATCGCCGACCATAATTACTTCATTAGGCAGGACATCCCAAGAAGAGCAGATATGAAGTAGGGGAGCGGGATTTGGTTTATAATAACCAAATTCCCTGCTTAATGCTGGATGAAATGTCCACTGCAGCAATAGTAAGAAAAAGTTTAGTTGTCCATATTTTGGAACAAACAGATGTGCTGGTATAAGTTTACAATGAGAGATATCTAAAAAAGTAGTTTGATCCCACAAAAAAGAAGAGATTCTTCCTAATCAAGGAAGATCATTTTGTTCTATCGTTCCATGAAGCCCAAAGAAAAACACCAGCAAAATTCAACCATAGAATTTAGCTTGCTTCTTGAACAGATACCCCTATGAGCAAGAAAATACAGAGAGAGAGAGAAGATAAATAGAAGGGGAATTTTTCACATTAGGTGAACTAGAGTACTGAAAAGCCCAGATGTCAGAAGAAGCTAGAAAGACCTCAATTTCTAAGACCATAGGCCCGTAGCGATTTACCGAGAGGCTGCTAGTAACCCAAGACGTGAAATGCAGCCAGTCTATACAAATAATGTTCAAGGGTGAAACATCTACAGAGGGGCATTCTTAGAGACTGAAATTTCCTATGTACTAATGCCCCAAGAAGGTAACAACGAGTGTTGGAGCTAATGGAATGATCAAGACAGCTCAGTTCATATTAGGATGCCCGAACAAGACAGATGAAATCAAGAGCCTACTGGCTGAATGAGGATGAAAGCCTTATTAGAGTATCGTAAGCTCTAAGAAAATGCACTATTGTGGTTGTGATAAGGAGAAATCTCATGTTTTTAGTTTCTCATTCTTTTGCAATGGAAGACTATATTGGGGAACGAATTAAAAGCTCAAAATTTACTCCGATTCCAAACATAATAAGAAAGAATCCAGCTGCAAGTCTGAAAATTAAAAACATAACAGATGGCTGTAAATTGTAACTATAATTAGCAGAGAGCCTTATGAGAAAAATCAAATTTAGCTGTAAATTGTAATTAAAATTTGCAGAGAGTGTTGTAAGAAAAATCAAACTTACACCAAAACGCTGATGAAAAATATCGACAGCTTCCTTTATATTGCGAGTAATTAATCCCCTCCTGAAATGTAACATATTGACATTATAAATACAAAAAAGGGAAACAGAAAGTAAAGATATTACCACATCATATGCACAACAACGTATCTAGCTATTGCGCAAGTGCACAATTTTTCTGTTTATCATCTTTAATTCTTTTGTAAACATCAAATAAATTGAACATCGGAGTAGACACAAATTGATCAATTAGTTTGGTTCAAACCCATATGCAGTAAATTTTGAAATTTCACTTTAACATCTATTTTCTAATAAATTCACAGGACACCCGAGATATTCTAATGAGACTATACTAGATAAATTTACAAGAATCTCATTATGTTGAAACTTTATCTTCCTTCTCCTCCTCTTCCACTTGTTTCTTTTTGTTCTTTCTTTCCAGATAAATTAAAAGGCACCACCATGTGTGTTTTGTGTGGGTTGGGGGAGGGGTATGATTCAACCAACTTTTAGTTCTGTCACAGGAACATAGCTGATTCACGAGAGAACAGTAGCTCAACTACAGTTAAGGAAAGAGCTGGCAGACAAGATGGTTACAAAATGCAAGCCACCATAAGTTACAGTGAAGGAAGAAGAAGAAGAAGAAGAAGAAACTGTTTACCTTATATTCTTGGAATCGAGAAAGGTACAAAGCTCCGCAGCACCTGCACGTATAATCATCAAGAATTTGGTTGAGATAGCCAAAGACCCAACTTTTCACAATAAAAGTAACATGAATCTGAAGAGTTAAAATCCCTCATCTATTTAAGCTGTTGAGACAAGGGTGTTAGCGATTAGAAACTTGTAAAGAAAAACAATCAAATCAACACAGGGTAATCTAAAACACATGATAAATTGGGGGGGGGGGGGGGG